AATAATAATAAATAGCCAACCAAGAAGGAAAAGACAAAAAAAAAAAACAATATGAATGAGTCTTAATCAATGAATACTTGTCACCTGCTTACTTTTTCACGTTTGAAACTTATTTCACTACCAAATTAATGTATGCTATCCAGTGCTATTTAAATAAAAACAATGATAACAATAAAAGGCAATTAATATAACCAATTATTATTTTCAGATTGTTTGTTAATTGTTTATTTTTTTCATTCAATATTTAATTGCTGCTCAATCAAATCATAAGTGAAATGGAATGTTTGATTGGAAAAAGAGAATGCATTAAGGAAATAAACATATTTTTGTAAATGGACGGATGAAATGATAATACTTTCAATGAAATTTATTTAAATTCAAGCTACTCCTCAATTTTTATCATAGTTATCAATTTTTTCCATCGTGCTTACCTGTTCTTTTTAAGAAAAAAGAAAAATTTTTCTTTCTTTTCCATTAAATTTATCATTTATAATTATAATATTAAATTATTATTTTATACTTTTTATGCAAATTTTCCTGTGTAACTTTTCCATCATTTTACGGTTTATATCAATTTACTGAAGGGGATAAAAGAAGAGTATATTTGTACATTTCATTTGTTTAATTACTTTTTTAAATTTGATGCTAAAATGAAACAATCAATCTGCTTGTTTTCTTTTATATATTATTAGATCAATGTATCATCATTTTGGCAAATGTTGATGCATATTTTTTCAAATATAATGGTTTATCAACTTATCAAACTATACTTATACCATTTTGAAAATAAGATTAAAATTTATATTGTAAATTTTAAAAATACAAAGTAATCCTTCATCAGCTCATTAATTAGTCGTATAGTGGAATAAAATTTAGTTCAATGAAACTATTAGTTAAATATCTAATGACATTTTAGATGAATTAAAATATTGACAGATTGCCATTGGTAAATGTTAAATGTTTGTAGCATAAATTTAAAGCGTAATATTACATATTGCAAAATTTTATAGATTGCTTAAATTTACGAAATATTATAATATGATAATTGTGAGGAAAATTTGATTTAATTCTAATTTAGAATCTTTTTTTTTTTTGCATCAATGATTTTCTTTTGTTTTTTTTTTGAAAATTTAAATTTAAAACAAAAAAATAAATCAAACATTTGATAAATTTGGAAAAATTATACCATATTCTGACTAAATTTTCTGCCAATTTTTAATTTAGCCTTAATTTTAGACTTTTCTTCCTTTTTTTTTTTTTTACTAAAAATTTAGCTCTTTTCTTTCTTTACTTGAATAATTTACCTTTAGTTGCGCAGGAAATGAAATGCAAATTGGCTTCCATATGGTTGGCTACAAGAAAGAAAATATTGTATCCATCCTTCAGAGAGATCCTCCGTTTAGTCCTATCATCCCTTCTCTTTACAAACAATATTTTCCCGATCGAAAAAAACCCTCCTCCCTATTTCCACTTTACATCCCCGCTTCTTATCAATCCCCCCCCCTTCTGCTCCTTTCTTCCCCGACTCATCGCTATTTTAATCGTGATAAATTGTGCCGATAAAGATAAAGCTGTTGGACGTGTTGCAAGTGATGGACTGGTTGAATGGATGGATGCTTTCCACGTGGCCAAATTACAAAATTTATACTTCTTCCTTCTGCTATTGCTTTAGTGTTGTTTACTTCCGTCATTATTTCAGCGTCATTTACTTCCGTCATTATTCCAGCGTCATTTACTTCCGTCATTATTTCAGCGTCATTTACTTCCGTCATTATTTCAGCGTCATTTACTTCCGTCATTATTTCAGCATCATTTATTCTCTATCATCATTCCAACTTGTCATTTGTTATCTTTGTAATTAAATTTCTTCAATCATATATCTAAATGTTACCAAAGTATGGTAATGTTTTATCATTTTTTTAATTTCATCGTTATCATTATTGTAACTGTTATTGTTGCTATTACAACTATTTGCCTATTGTTGCTGTAATTTTCATCCATCATAATGATTACAAATGTATGTATGTAATCGATTCAAAAATTCAAATTTTCATTTTTCGTTTTTCTTTATAAATTTTACCTTTTTTTCTTTTTTTTTTTCAAGACTAAATATGATTCACAAATTTTTGTATCCTTTTTTCATTTCAATTAGCACAAATAGTTTAATGATTCATATTAGCAATATGAAATGTTTCGCCTAATGTTTAGAATTTTCCATTAATAAAATAAAAAAAAGAAAAAAGAATAAAAGGAAGAAATTATAGAGCGGTTGAGTGTTACTTAAAAGATGAAATATCCTAAAATTATTTCTATTCCTTTTCTTAATCTCTGTTAATTATACTAAAGCTTTATAATTAGCTATTATATATTTTGTTATACTGTAATGAGAGCAACAGATGCTCAACGTATTACGTGTATGTTATTACGCAAGGTATATATATATATAATGTACTATATATGCATT